TTTATGCCTTTATCTATTTAAACCCCCAGGTGTGAGTTTTTTTTTTTTTTTTTTTTTTGTCATTCAGGTTATCACATAATATATTGCATAATTTATACTGGAGCCTTTGGACATGTGTTTCATTTATCAGAAAAATGTATTGTAGATTAACAGCATTCATGAATTTTCCTCTGCTCTTGTAAGGTCTTCCCTATCCACCCCATAGCAGCTCAAATTGCTTGTCTTTTTTAACCATATGCTGTTGAGGAAGACCATGTACAGTATTCCCGGTCAGGTCATTCTGAAAGTGTCTTGCACTGCAAACTCAAACCTCCAAACTCATCAAAACCACTGATACTGCACCGGTAAAGAAGAGCAGATCTCTCTCCGTCGTTTCTCTCATTAATTCTATCTTGATCTCACCGCTCTTCACCTTTTCGTCCCTTAATTCCAGCAGCATCATTTTAATTTTAAAGCCAAAAGGGCAGGTTCCCCCCCTGAAGGTGGAGAATATTCACCGTGCTGCAGATGTTCATGAATAATGTCCATCTCCGAACCCCTGCCGCCGCTCAGATGCAGGGTGTGGTGGGGAGGAGATGAATTACACGGAGGGGGAATCTGACAGCCTGAGCGGGGCTTTGTGATCATTCCAAAGTCCTAATAATCTCCCTCACCTTTCTCATCTCAGTCTAATGAAAGAGAATAGGCGATTGCACCCCGGGCGATGTTCCCCACGCCTAATGAAGCCTCCAAAGGCAGAGCGACCGCGGAAAAATGAACTCCGAGTGAGCTTTGAATTGGCTTTGACACCTGATAGACTTTGACACCAATTCTGTAACAAAACAGACGTAGCGCTAATTGATTATCAATATTTTAAGCAAAGCGATGAAAATAAGCATTAAAAGATGACAGGGAGAAGTGGAGTCTTCTGTGGTGGGACCCTCTCTCTCTCTTCTTCAACAGGTTGTGTTTTCACCTCCCTCGGCACATGTCCTCCTCTCTGTGTATGTATAGCTCTTTGGCCTTGGTTCCCCGGACCGACAGCTTACCGAGCAACTTGACATTGCAATTAGGCTTTAATATAACAGAAAAGAGCCGGTTCCCAGGCGCTGGAGCTTGACTAAGCACAATCTCAGGGACCACCGTGTTTCGGGTCTTTGTGCCAGGTGTTAGCCCCGTCCAGCTGTGTCCCACTGAGCCGTATACCGTTTATTCATTTTAATATCCCAGCGTCCATCAATCTATCAGCAGACGCAGCTTGTGTTTCATGGCGAGTAGCTTTTTTCTGGTGCTGTGACACACGAGTGCTGGAGCGTAATCAGATGTCGTTATCATACGTCTTCGGGAAAGTTGAGTTGCGCCGTGGATGCTGTCACTTTATTGCAGTGTTGCATCAATATGTTGATGGCATATTGTCAAGATGCTGAATCAGTTTACTTCAAATGTTTGAGTTGGCATAAAAACTGAAATCGTGATCATCTACATTACTGAAACGTGTTTTCGAGTGAAAAGGCGTATAACTTTTGTGTATAACGTTTGGTGTATATGTAGGGTATACAGGCACAATAATTTTACTTACATTAAATGATATTGGTATTTTTTAGCAGCGAACCCGACCCAGTAAAGCTAACCACTTGTCAATAAATATTTGACAATATTTGGCATATTTGTGGGCTGGTTATGCAGTAACATATTAAGTTGCATCATTGTTTGGTGGTGTTTAGATTCATACAGTATGTTAATGCTGTGCTATCTTCTCAATAGCAAAACAAACACAACCACATTTTTTTTGTTTCAAACTGCCGAAACAAGGCAAGAGTTTTTGTTCAAAATGACATCACACCTGTTCGTTCTTCATTTTTACTTGAAGTATATCAAGGCCTTTGAAGGTTAAAACTGTATTCACTTTGATTTATTACACAACAATCTTAAATGTTGCAACTCTTAACAAATCTCTTAACTACCATTCATATACCACTCATGTTAACCCTTGTGTGGTGTTCATATTTTTGTTATTCAGCCCGTGTTTCTTCATCAGATTTGGAGCAATGTGTCATTGCATCAGTGTCTCAGCAATGGATGCTCTGCAGTGAATGGGTGCCGTCAGAATGAGAGCCCAAACAGCTGATAAAAACATCACAATAATCCACAAGTAATCCACACCACTCCTGTCCATCAATAGGACATTTTTAACTTTAAACAGTTGCTTCCAGCTAGAATACAAATCCATAATGCTTCCTCAAGTGAAAAAGTGGTCTGGTCTGAATCAGGAGAGAAATCTGCACAGATCAAGCACCGTTTACAAGCTAAAACAGCTCTAAACAAATATGTGGCTGGATTTTGATGTGAGAGACAACAGGACACTGGAGGAAGCGTTATTATGGATTATGAACTTTTGGCCCAAAGCTTAACAATTTCTGTATATTGCTTACGCAAATTGACCATAAACATTTACATTTACATTTAGCCATTTAGTAGACGCTTTTATCCAAAGCGACATACAAATCAAAGAGGACAACAGAAGAAATTTAAATCAACAAAAGAACAATAATATGCAAGTGCTATGACAAGTCTCGGTTAGCCTAACGCAGTACACGTAGCAAGGTTTTTTTGTTATTAATATGTGACGTTGCCTGTGAAAACCCAGCTAAAGTCTTTTTTTTTTTGATTTACTGTTTTCTACATAAAATCATCCTACATAATGTACAGAACATTCTGTGAAAATACAAACTTGATATCTTTAACACTGACTGAATAAGACCATGTTAAAAATTGAAATGATAATGAAATTAATAGGTGAAATCAAACTTTGAGGCTCGTTATCTCAGAATTAGATTTTTAGTCTTTAGCCTGGTTTTCACAGGCAGGGTCACATATAATAAAAAGAAAACAATTAGAATAGAAAAAGAATAGAGAAAGCTAGTGTTAGAGGCCTTTTTTAAAGAAAACAAGTAGTTAGAAAACGAATAGTGTAAAAGAGGGTCAAGTGTTTTTTTTTTTTAATAACAAAAAGAAAACAAATTGATAAAATAGAATTGAAATGGAGAGTGCTAGAGTTAGAGGGTCAAATAAAGTTGGAAGAGATGTGTTTTTAGCCAATCCTTGAAGATGGCTAAGGACTCAGCTGCTCGGATTGATTTGGGCAGGTCATTCCACCAGGAGGGAACAGTTAATGAAAGAGTCCGTGAAAGTGATTTTGTGCCTCTTTGGGATGGTACAATAATGCACCGTTCACTTGCAGAACGCAAGCATCTAGAGGCACATAAGTCTGAAGTAGTGAATTTAGGTGAAGGGGTGCAGAGCCAGTGGTGGTTTTGTAGGCAAACATCAATGCCTTGAATTTTATGCGGACAGCTATTGGTAGCCAGTGCGAATTGATGAACAGAGGTGTGATGTGCCTTCTTTTCGGCTCGTTAAAAATTTATCTTGCAGCCACATTCTGGATTAATTGTAGAGATTTGATAGAATAGTCCAGAATAGCAATAGTCCAGCCTGGACAGAACAAGAGCTTGAACAAGGAGTTGTGTTGCATGTTCTGAAAGAAAGGGCCTGATCATCAATCACAATTCCAAGGTTTCTGGCTGTTTTTAAAAGAGTTAGGGTTGATGTGCCTAACTGGACGGTGAAATTATGATGAAGTGATGGGTTTGTTGAAATCACAAGCAGTTCTGTCTTGCCGAGGTTGAGTTGAAGGTGATGGTCCTTCATACAGCAAGAAATATCTTTTAGACATACTGAGATGCGAGCAGCTATAGTCGGATCATCAGGATGGAATGAGAGGTAGAGTTGAGTGTAGGGATGGAACGATTACCGGTT